TGTATCGGAAATTCTAAAGATAAGCTCATTTTAAAATTCTTTTGCGATATTGCTGTTGAACTGAATTTTATGGTTTGAGTACGTAGAACATGATATTTAATAAATAAAGATAACACACATAATGGTAAAAAACAACCATTTGGATGTAATTTAAAATCTAAAATTTTCAGATTTTAAAAATTAAAAAAATTTTTTTTTATTAGTCCAAAAGGGCAACTTGTCCAGAAGGACTATTAATGTCGTTTTGGCATTTATGTTGATTCACTACAAGCGTGGTTTCACTTTTCATATTGTTGAAACCAAATATTATCATTCTGTATTTAAAGGACTTAAATAATGGAAAATCTAGCAGTTACTGCCAAAAGAAACAGGCGGAGCTCAGCCTCAGACCTGTTTCGTCTGCTCTCTTCAGCCACTGGTACGACAATTTCAAGGCAGACCGTGTACAGACGCTCAGGGCAGATTGGTCTATATGCTCGTAGACCTGTCAGATGCGTTCCACTCACTACAGCTCACTGTCGCCTGCGGTTAGCCTGGAGTAGAGAGCATGCATTGTGGACACCGCAACAGTGGGCTTGTGTGATGTTTTCCGACGAGTCCAGGTTTAGCTTGCAGTCTGATTCTCGCCGGACGTTCATATGGAGAGCTCCAGTATTCCCGTTACCACCAAGAAAACATCATTGAACGACACCGTTACGGTGGTGTAGGAGTGCTCGTTTGGGGGTGGAATTATTCTGGGTTCCAGAACTGACTTGCATGTTGAAATTAGAACCATGACAAGCCAAATCTATCGGGATGTCATTCTGGAACAACATGTACGTTTGTTTCGGGGCGCCATGTGCGCACAATTTGTGTTTATGGATGACAACGCCCGTCCTCACCGTGCAAACATCGTAAGCGGATGCCTTCAATCGGAGGATATCGCCCGTATGGACTGGCCAGCATTCTCACCAGACTTGTATCCAGTAGAGCACGTGTGGGATATGCTTGGCCGACGAGTTGCAGCCCTTCAACCTCCTCCTACAGGTCAACCGGAAATTCGGAGAGCATTGCTTTATGAGTGGTGTAATATCCCCCAAGATCAGATCGATAATATGATACTTAGCATGCCTAGGCGTTGTACGGACTGTATTGCATCGTCTGGGAGACATACAATGTATTAACAATCATACCAACCATGTAATATTTTTTTTTTTTTTTTTGTAAATAAGTTTTTTTTTTTTTTTTTTTTTTTTTTTTTGTAATTTGCTCCAGGGAGAAAAAAATTCGCTAATTTTTTTAATAATATCAAACATATAGCATCTTTTTTTGCTCTTTACCTTTTGTTTAATAAATAAGCTTTACAAATAAGTCAAATTTGTTTTGCTTCTAACTCTTCCTTTGCCTGATTTTGCATTATCCTTAATTTATGGACATGAGTGTAAATAAACCAAACCAATCCTCGCATTGTGATAAAACAATGGGTCATAGTGCCAACAAATTTTTAATAACGTAATCCTCCTGCGAATATGGGCATTTGGAAGCCCAAATTTAAAATTTGGAATTTTGTTTATTATCGTTTTCATATTTTGTAAAACTTTAACGAGTTTTTGATTAACAAACTCAAGGATTTCAAAGCGAGCAATGGCAATACTCTACGGGAAAAAAAAAAAAAACCTTTTTATCTCCAGCGCGAGGAACTGTGTGTATCGGAAATACTAAAGATATCCGCATTTTAAAATTGTTTTGTGTCATTACTATTGAACTGAATTTCACGGTTTAAGTGCAAAGAACATGATATTTAATAAATAAAAGTAGTACACAAAACGTTAAAAAAACGCTCGTTTGGACGTAATTTAAAATATGAAACCTTTCAGATTTTTTTTTAAATTTTTGTTTTGATTCAAGTCAAATATATTCAGCCAGATCGGAAAACTTGTGAATTAATACACGCGCAAGAGCAATTGAAAGTAGGTGAAGATTATCTGCAACAGCGGATCGTAGCTGATAAGTTTTCTTTTGTACTAGTTAGTTAAGGGTAAAACCATGTCTTTGAATTTATGATAATTGAAATTTGAAAAGCAATTCATCGAAGGTGTTAAAAGGTATTATCAATAAGTAATCCAGCTATTTATAATTTCTCATCATAGCTTTACCGCACTTGGGGAATACCAAAAAATTTCTTACACTTTTAAAAATAGTTCCACAAGAAAACTATAAGTTATTATTATTATTTAACTAGCAGAGAAATTTTATAGCTTAAACTTCTATTAATTTATATTCCGTTTCCCAGCAAAACGAAAAAAACTGGACCTTATATACAAAGACTTTATTTTAATTACATATATTTTTTTTGAGTGCAGTTTAGTTAATCATTAATTGGAAAACAAATATTGCAGTTTTAATTAGAACTGCAATGTTTCTCACCAGAAAACCGAATAACATCGCAAAGAGAAACGTTCAGCAAATTAGTTGTGAAAGTTTTTAACCAGCAATTATTTAATTAGCTGCAGAATACGTTTATTTAAATTAATTATTAATCTTAAACATATTAAAAATTCCTACACACAGAAATTACCATAACATCAGAAATTCTTGTACAACTGTCCTTATTTATCAAGTTTTCGACTACGTTAATTTAACGGATATTTACTAATTAATAAGTTTAAGACTAATTTAAATATTTCATTATGAATTATTGCTACATACTTTATTTTTCGAGAGAGTTTTATACAGCGTGAATGAACTCTTTTTTGCCTCTTTCTACGAATCTGAATAATTTTTACATAGTGTTCACAATTACCTGTTGAGCTTCTCTAATTCCTTTTTCCACCTATGTTAACTATTTCTATATAATTTCAATTTTCCTTAAAGTTAAGATATTCAACATTGCATGACACGTTTGATGTTTTGTACGCTACTTTTTTTGGTAGGGAATTAACAATAAACGAAATTAAGCCAAAGATAGAGAAAAACATGAAATCAATTTTGGAACTTATTCATAACATCTAATTTGTTGAAATAAAACAAACATACGTTTGAATTAAAGTAAATTACTCTAGAGAATTCCATATAAATTGATACTCATTCTCAATAAATAACTGATGAAAACTTGCGGAGTTTAAAAGATATTTCGTCGAATGTTTTGCTCTAAATATTTATTTTTTGATTATTTACCCCAGATACTTAAACGTTTTCGATAGCGAATTTCATACCTTTGTATTATTTGGCTTTTAAGTGTTAAGAAACATGAGAAAGTATTTATCAAACACGTAGTCACGTTATAAATACCTTACACAAACTACAACATCTACGAATATAAAAAAACAAATAACATAGATTGAAGATAAATATTTACCTGCTTTTAATTTAAAATGCTAAATTCCCGGCAAAAGAAAGTAGGTGGTTCATTAGTCATTCACGAAAAAATAAAATATATTTAATTAATCCTATTGCATTGTTAACGAATGTTTTAATTCTTGCAGGGATTATAAATACTGTAATTAAGTGTAGTTACACTAATTTATTTTCAGTTCTTCGAAACTAAATTATTTATCTCTTCAGTAACTAAAAATGTTTATTTTCAATAATGAGAAATTCAGTTATTAAAATTTTTTGTTTTCAGTAATTAAAATTTTTTTATGAATTAAAAATGATTTACTTCTGTAATTTTTACTGCGTAAGTGCGAAGAAAATTATGCTTAATAATAAAGTTAAAAAGTAAAAAAGAAATGGGTTAGCAGGAGTGAGTGCAACAGCAGGCTGGTTTGCTGCGAGCTGAGCGAAAGCTTAATAAAACCTTGACATACGCTTTTGGGCCACCGTTAAAATCTGAACCCTTCCAAATTTTTAAAGTTTAAGATTATTTAAAATGACTAGTTTCATTTTAAATTTTATATTCAGTGCTTTTTAACTGCATATCCTTTTTATGTATCACCGAAAATCTTTCCTTGTTCCAGGAACTTCAGCCATACAATCTCAAAACTTACATGTTTAAATCTATGATCCCGCTTGTTAACAGACTGTGCAAAAGCTGAGAACTATACTCAGAGCTCATCTCGTGACAAGTGGATTTAAGTGCTTAGTATTTGGCTATTTGGGAATGGTTTGAGGTGTCCACTGGTGCCTTAAGATTACGGGGACCGTAATGAAGTGGACGTACCGCGTGTTTTAATTCTTTGGGTTGCGCGTAACTATAGAAAATGCGTGTGCACGCAAAGAAAGACAAATCGAAAAGAAAAGGGCAAATAAAACGTGTTTCTCAACATTACCTTACCACTAGAGTACTACAAGCTTTCCCTGAGCAAAATATAAAGAGGTTCAGAGGCAAGTGCATTCGAATGAGTAAAAAGGGAAAGAAATTAATTAATTAGGTTAATTGATGATTAGATGATTACGTTAAATAATTACTTTCACTTAAGGCAAAGCATATAAGTGTAATCTGCCTAAGTTTAAAGGCTTTTCCACGGAGAATATAGATGGTTTTTACGTTACGTGAGGGGAAGAAGCACAAAAAAGAGCCATATAGTTGCTAGGATTACGCCTGGATCGAATAACCAGTATTCGGTTGTCTTATGCCTTTGGCCCTGGTGGGAAGAACCAAAGTTGAAACCGTATACCTTTTAGACAAGTAGAAAGGGTTCCAGTTAAAGTTGAAACCGTATACCTTTTAGACAAGTAGAAAGTAGTGAAAGAATATCATTCGAATTCAGAGTTGAACGAAGTTATAAATATGTTCAGTGACAAAGCCATACAATATTTAATGGCCATTCTAACAAGAGAGTTAAGCAACTTCTTAAACCGTGGCCCTCCATTCCCTGAAAGAGGAAGTGCAAGAATAAGTACTCCTAATTTGGAACAAGTAGAAGACTCAAATTAGAATTTTAAAAAACGGCGAAACTATATACACATTAAATAGGTAATTTTTTTGTAATTAACAAGTTAATAAATTCCTTTCCTTTGATTTTCAATGATTGTGATATTTTAAATATTCTCTAAATTTCATAATGGTCTTTTTCCAGATTCTGAACTTTGTACGGATACAGTCTACCATTCTGTTAAGTCAGCTGCACATTCAACTTTCCTAATTATTTATGGATAATTTAAAGCATAAGGAGCAGCAGAGACAACGTCAAGAGCGAGCGAGATTCAAGTTACGAGGAAGTAGAAATGAAGAAATTTTATTAGATATTTCAGTATGTAAGTTTCTTATAAAGAAATAAAATTCTGATAGTTACCTCTAGTTTATCTGTGACTACTTTTGATTTGTGTTGTTCTTATTGTAAACGCGTCTTTCGGAAATTAAATTATTCGCACAATTTTCCCTCTAGATATTTAGAGGATAAAATTAGCAGAGAAAAGGGGGGACAAAGAAATACTGCATTTCAGCACATTTTTATCCTTATGTAAGATACTGCAAGTTATATATTATATTATTATTCGAACACATTTGAGCCTATGGGGAAAAGGGAAGAAGAATATATTTTTTTCTGAAAAAGTAATGACGCAAACAGAAGTTAAAATATCGGGTAAAAGGAAGCAACAATATTTGATTAAATGTTCAATATTAGGAAGTAAACAAAACATTTTCCAGTTAAATCGCCCAATTCAGTTGACTGATTACGCACTTGTATGATTACTTTTATTTTTTTCACTACTCAAGCATTTTTGTTAGCATAAGTAATTGCTGCAAGATTTACGTTTAAAGCGCAAAATTGTGTGTTGCTAAAGGAATTAATGACATTGACTTTATTTACTGTGCCTTGGTTTTCTGTTTAAAATTTCGATCTCTTCAATTGGTTACCTTAACCCTCGTGATTGCTGACGTCAATCAGCATAGCTTTTCTGTGGATTCCGAGGTGATTATGTTTACTAAATAAATAGCGTACATCGAAACTCCATTTCAGGAACAGAAGGAGAAAGAAGTTTGAAGATATTTAATCACAGACATTGAAAGGTCCTTTAAATTTGGTTGTGTCACTTGCAGAGTTCCCATTGTTTGATTTTGGACGGCTTTGTCAGGAAGGTAAATCTGGTGGAATGTTTTTGACTGGTGACGCAAAGACGGTACTGCGCATATTCTAATTTTAAAAAGATTCTGGTTTTATAATTTTAATAGGAATTTTTTGTTTTTTAATATTTCATTAAGATAGCAGAGTTAATTATATTAATGCACGATATTTTGGGCAAAGAAATCTATAAGTTAAAAATATCTACGAAGAAAATACAGATTTCAAATAGTGATTACAGATGCATGCATGTTTCTATAATTGATTCTTCTACATTCTAATATAATTACTCCTGCTTATATTCGTTACTTCACATTTCGCGGAGATGGATAAAATCTCCATGTTTCTGCATCTTTTATGTATTTGATGACGACCCTGACGTTTTATTAATGAGTATATTATTGCTGACAAATGTCATATATTTCGTATATGGGTTTATAGAGGTTGATAAAACTTAAAGGATTCCTATAGATTTTTAGAGATAATACTCTATAGATATGCTTCCCTATAAAGTTCTAAAGAAATTTTATAAAGCTTTCAGAGAGAAATTTTGCTTTGCAAAAATCATAGAGAATTATTATGAGCAAATAATGTATGTATGCATATAATCATCCAGAATCCCAATTCTGTATGATTACAATATTAATACAGAATACTATTTTGATGAAATCTACAAAGCTTTCCAAATCGCAATCGAAAAAAATCTTTAGTTTTTGGTGTATAGGCAGTTGTTTCAAACTAGCGGCTCCGGAAGGAATTTTTGATGGCCCACAAATGCATTTCAATTCAGTATTTGTTGCAAGTAAGATGTTGCAAAGACCTGAAGGTTTTAATTATTTGAGTTTTGAGTTTACATAATTTTTATTACCATTAAAGTTAACGTGAATCAACACCGGAAAGTAACACCGGAAAATCTACACATTAAGCTAATTTATTTACAATGTGATGTAAACCTCGTTCAACGTTTTGAAGATACACATCTGACTAACTTTAATTCGTGATCGTTAAAAAATACTTTTTAGAGTCATTCGGATTAATTTTTGAAGCAGAACATATGGAAAATGAGCAATGCCCTCGCCGGGACTCGAACCTGGACCTCTCGAATATATGCTGAGTGGGCTACCTTTATACCACGATGACATGTTGGAAGTGGGCGAAAAAAATCCTTCTATACTACCCCTTTTAAAGGGCGACTGGGGCTTACGGAACCTAGTTGCCAAATGCTGGTGGTGAAGAATTATTGTCTACAACCTCTTTTCTTTAGTTGGGGCACCGTTTGCAGAGTCATTAAGTTATTTTAAAACAAGAGACGTGAAAAATATCTAGTGTCCTCCCCGAAATTCGGACCTGGACCTCTCGAATACGTACCGAGTGTGCTATCGTTATACCACGAAGGCATGTTGGAAAGGAGAAAATACGTTATAAACTACGCCTAGTTATTTTTCTATTAAGACTCATATCTTAGTTTAAGATTACATTCATTAATAAACAGGCTTTTTTCACAGTTGAAAATTAACAAGAAAAGAGTGCGATTGACCGAAGAGCATTTACAATCCGTGATGAAGAAAATTTCTAGTAATTTTTCTCCAGTGCACAGACACATAAAAATAAATTTTGTATTTTCATAAAATTTATTATTATTTACAGATGAGCATATGTATTATTTATATTTATACGCCGAAGGAAAATTTAATAAATAAGAGAAATAGACTAAACTTTCGTTATTTGTTCTTAAATTTAGTCCCACTTAAAAAGTTTTTTTTCTGAAAACTTTGAAAGTTTTCATAATTTTATTTTTTAACTAAACTCAAAGAAAGCTATAATATGATTAATTAATTATATTAGAATTGTTTAAAATAAACATTTATAAAGAGCTAAATATAATAATATTTAGCTGTCAGCATATTTGAGTTACAGAGCGTAATCAAAGAAACTATATTTTGTCAAAATTTAGATTTCCGGTAGAAAACAAATGTAAATTTGATTATTTTTCCTTTACATTATTATTTTATTTATTGCTTACATATGCTTTACCAAATATTAAGTAAACAAAATTTAAAACTTAGTAAAAATAGTTTTAATTCTGCTGATAAAAAATTTCTTTTAGCTTAAAAAATATGTGTTCCGTCAGCTTTTTACAGACCGTAAATATTCAGTTCGTATGCAATTTCAGTCAGTATGGGATATTGAAGAGCAAATTTAATGATTTTCATTAATAGTTTTGAATGATTTTTAATGGAAACTTTTGCCCTTGTTTTCCTTGTAGCTTCATGCTTTTTAGGTTCTAAAATTTTAATGGAATTACGGGCAAATCTTTTGTGCTGTATTACTTATATGATACACAGATTAAATATTGTGAAAGTCAAAAACTAATTTAAATCATAAAGTGAATTAAATGATTAAATTTATGTTATTGATTATGAATTTTAAGTCTTGAAATGAATGCTTCAAATTATTATATATGTGCCCCTGGTAAGCGAAACTGTCTCTGAATTTTAACTAGAATATTGCTTAAAATATATTTTTATTTAAATATTTTTGAAATCAAAACAGTATTGCCCACCGCGGCCGAGCGTAAAGTCGCTGACACTGGTAGTTCGTCCGAGGTTCGAATCCCGCGAACGGCTGGCTGCATGGGCGCCTCAGTGATTTTTCCGAGTGTAACGTGGATACCAACCAGTTTGCCGTTAAATGTCACCGACGTTCCTTCCCTTACGCAAATAGCCCTAGTGTGCCTTTGCCATAATTAAATACACCAACACCAAAACAGTATTAAAAACTTTTATTAGAAAAAATATCATACATATTAAGATTTTTTTTAATTTTCCTATATATATGTTATAGATAAATTTAAAGTTTAGAGGACGTTGAAAACATCTATTCGCAAGTGAAGCTTCAGTTCTTTTTAATCCAAAAAGAAAATAAATTTTGTAGATTTCCTGAGGCTTTTGAATATTCAAAACATTTCGTATGATCTTTTCACAGAAAATTAAAGTAAGGAAACTTGTATAGAATTCTCTAGATTTCTGACTGAATTTTCTATAAATTGCATATATTGTTTTAGTAACATACTATTAGTTATTCTATGCGCACTATATATAAAATTCTATATGTGGGACCTTAGAAACTTATGTATAGACTTATGTATATGCGTTACTTTTACAATTTCAGTACAAAATGTTATAGAATCCCTACACAAAATCCTATAAAGTATCTACCCATATTTCTATAGAATCTTTATGTACTATAACTCTATAAAAGAATCTGGATATGAATCATTATAGAATTTTATAGATGAGCTCTGACCTAATTCATAGAAACTGAGTCATAGTTCTAGAGGATTCTATAGAAGTTTAACACTAGGTTTTTTAAAGAATGCTATAAACATTTTTGAAGGGTAGAGTTTTTCTAAACTACGCCAGAGTAAAAAAAAATATACTTTATTAAAGTAAATGACAGCTCACATAAGTGAAACAGCTATAAATACTTTAAATACAAAAACAGTAAATTATCCCTGAAGCACAGAAAATACCGCGGGACAAGAAAATAACTGATACAATTATTAGACTAAAGCTAAACAAATGTACACAACTCGGAAGTAAATCATTGAACTAATTGTCTTTTGGTCTAATTCAGCGGGTGTTGGAAATTTTCATACTCTTTAAACCGACACCACATTCACTACTTACCCTCTGCGCCACTTCAAATGTAACATTGCCGGGAATTTTTCGCTTTCGGGATGTCTGATTGGTTGATATCCGCGGAATCTTTTGGGGAAAACCTAGGAGTTAGACAGATTAAAGCGAAACATTTTCAGATCAAATGCAAAATATTTCTTGAAGCTAGCCGAAACATCGGTTCTTAACTCTCCACTCGTAGAAGTTTTGGTGAATCTTTACATTATGGTAACTTGGCGATTTTTTGACGAAAATTTGGCGACCAACCCTGCTACAGCAAGCTGCTAGTTTTGTTTTGGACGCCATTTTGTTTTCACGAAGTAAAGGCATGTTTTTTTTTTTTTTTTTTTTTTTACTCAACATTTTTTCCAACATCTGCTAGCCGAATTACGCTTATACTAGAACTTTTACGGAAGAAAATGCTTAATCATGACGAAGATTGGTGCGAAACTGAGAAAGTTTAGAATCGCAAATGATGCCGCGTTTTAAGAATTACACATACACGATATCCATTACAACGTCAACTATTTTCACTTCAAAAAAAAATCCGAGAATTT